TTCCAAACCCACCCCTCAACTATTCAACCCACTACTAAGCCTTACTTCCTGCTGTTGAAGCTGCTGTTATGATTGTTTGTGAGAGATGAAGGCGAGATCTTTGGCAAAGCAGAGAGATTGGAAGCACCAGATGACCTTCAAAAAGATAAAGAATAGATCATGAGTTAGAGTTAAGAAAATAAGGAGCTGTTTAAGAAAGGTACGCGAGTGTCCATTAAAGTAAACTGAGATGAATTAAAATAAATTGCGGAATATGTCAGCAACAAAAGGTTAAGCAAAAGAAGTAGGCAAAATTACAGAGAGGAGGATTTTTTTTTGAAGATGATGAGGTGCTTTAGTGAAATAGCAGAGAAACTTTAAGGGTTTAAATTTTGCAGTTGAAAAAGAATCCTGGTGCTGTGTCATATCATATTATAGTGCTTTAAAATGTCCAAAAACAAAAAACCTTCCTAGTATTTTAATAATACACTGCCTATGTGTAATCTTTTGGTAGTGTTTGAATACAGCGTGGAAATTGCATTCCATTTCTGTGGTAACTTCGTCCTTCAGTTAACAGAAATATCAGCCAGGTGATGTGCACTTCACTCACTTGGGTGTTGTGGAGCCTCTGGGCCATGTGCCATCCTCATTCTTCTGCTCTATTACAAGAACCTGTGGGAGATGGCATAAAGTAAAGATGCTTCATTTGCTTCTGCTAGCTTAAAGAGCCAAACATTTAGTAGTTGCTTTTCTGTACTCTGAACAAATAAGCTGTGTACAGCAGTTGCATTTGTATTGAATTTGTAAAACCACAGAAATGTTAAAACATCTTTTTAAAATACAGTTAATGGGCAACAACCTGCTACTGCTGCTAACATTTTTGTTTGCTTTACATAGTAAACAAAAATGCTTTTGTTTTTTTCTAAATGGGAAACACAAGGAGTCAGATACGTCTAATCCATGCCTTGACTTAACGAGGATTTGTCCGAGGCTCACCAGCTCTCTGGAACAGCTGCTTGTGAACGGGTCACCCCCCTTTTCTGAAGTCTCCTGGCTCATTGTGGCCAGGTATCTAAATTAATCTCCTTCAGAGCTGACTGGCATGTTGATGCCAGGGCATACACGTTCAGTGTTAAGCAGCTTACAGGAAGACACAGAGTACCTTTGCATGGCTGCTGACGAAGAGATATTGTGGGTTTTGAAGCTGTAACCATCTTTTACAACAGGGGTAGGCAATTCTGGCCCTCGAGGGCTGCAAGCCTGCTTGTTTTCCAGTTATCCCTGCCCTACCCGCTACTGATTACCTGGATCAGGTGTGTTCAGTCAATCAGAAGCTAGAAGATACCAATTCACTTTGTCTTTCCTCACGTCACCTTCATCTAAGATGGTATCTTCTAGCTTCTGATTGACTGAACACACCTGATCCAGGTAATCAGTAGCGGGTAGGGCAGGGATAGGGTTGGCACAGCAGTGTGGTGGTTAGCGCTGCTGCCTTACAGCAAGAAGGTTCCGGGCCAACCCATGGCCTTTCTGTATTGAGCTCTGTCTAGGGGGGACTTTCTCTTGCCGAGGGTCAGCCGGGATTGCCTCCAGCCACACTGTGACCCTATTCAAGAATAAACAGTATAGAGGATGGATGGATGGACAGGGCAGGGATAGTTGGAAAACAAGAGGGGCTGCACTCCTTGAGGACTGGGATTGGCTACCCCTGTTATACAAGATAATCTTAATTGAAATATTCTGTATTAGTCATTTTAATTTGAATACATTTATGTTTTGCTATTCTCAGTTACTGCGCATTTCTAAGTAAAACTGACAAGACACATGCCGAGTTTTTTCCGTGCCTAAAATACCCAGGGCAGAAACCGAGTAGATTGTAGGAGCAGTGATGAAATAAAAGCATACCCCTTACAGACGGAGAACAACAAAAAAGAAACTTGTCACAGAAGCACCTATGCGTTTAAATGATTTCATGGTAAAAAAAAAAAAAAAACACAAAAAATAACGATCAATTGATTAGTTTTTGGTTGGCTAAAAGTGGTACTGTGGTAAGTTATTGTGCTCTCTGCTGGTCATGATAGCCTGTTGGATATGCTGTGACCTCAAATCTGACCTGACTGGCAGAGAACAAAAATAAGGACAAGCTACCCAATAAAGAATATTGAAACTAGATTATATTTCACTAAGTCTAGAAAGCAAGCCATATTTTGACAGCTTAATGTTGATTTTGTCAAATATTTTGGCCAACTACAGGAAAACAACCCTGCTGGACTATTCATAATAGTCCAGTAGTCATAATGTTGTCACACTGTGACAGGTTCAGGTAATACTAGAGAGTTTCCTACCTGTCCTTGGTAGAGGCCGGCATCTTGGATGGTGCTGTCAGGTTTGTTGAGAGGCTCAAAGGTGTTGCTCATGTACCTGTTCCATAGCCTGGTCTCCTTCTCATCAGGGATGCTGAACAGCTTCCTCATCTCCTTTTCGATCATGTCTGCAGAAAAGAGTTAATTTCAAAAAGAAAAAAAAAGGCATGGATTATATGGTTAAAAGAAGACAGAGCCAGAAATTTTACCGATACTTAAACCACAGAATGGAAACTGAAAAGACTCCATAACAACTGGTCAACTTCAAAGGACAAGCTAATTCAGTGAATTTATTTATTCCCATGTTTGCTTTAAACTGAACCCTGCAGAATTTGTGGCTCTGAATGGAAATGGTTGACTCATGTTAAAATAAAGGCACCAGAGAGAATGTTTGGATTTTAGATGCAAGCTTTTGTTTATTAGTAGTGAAGTGTTTATCATTACTGCAAAAGGTTATTAGTGGTGAAGACTTAGAATCAAGTAAGTGCTTTCATTAGCATACTGTACATGTTTGTTCAGACAGCATGCAGTTACTACTGTGTGTTATTGGCACATTCTGTGAATATGTACATCATGTGTCTGATTATGTTTGGGTCTTCAGATCCTCTTCAACTTATTAACAAGAACATTACAGTTGTACCTTAATATTTTAATAATTTTCTTTATGTGTGCTGAAAAAAACAGTATATGAAAAGTAGTGGAAATCCAAGTTATGAAATGTAACAGAGTTCATGTTAAAGTGTCCATGGCATGCTTTTCTGTGTTTTCTGACTTATCTACAATGTTACAACAAATGTGACTGAAAGCTCAAAAAACAAGGTGTACCCATATTGTTGTACGTCTATGCAGAAGCTACTCAGTTTATACAAGTCTTGTGAACTCTTATTGGCAAGAATTTTTTCCATCTATGTAACGTCTTATGCAATAGTTCAGGGATTTCCTTGAATGGTCATATTCTCCTGGTTGTGCATGTTCATGTGAGCCTGCCTCACATCCACCGGTGCCATATTAAAAGTGGGATTTTTTTTTGACTGCATGTGGTTTTGTGGATATATTTTATCACCTGCTGCCTGCACAGTGACCAAAGGATGTGGAGAAAAATACAGGGCCTGAGGTTACTGGATGTCTAGGAATGTTCCTATATAGGGACTCACTGTATTACCTGATCGGGTCTAACGTGGTGTGAATGCAACGGCTGGAAACCTACAGGCAGCCAGTGAAACACCCTGGGGTTGTGAATGATCAGCACATCAACGCTTGGATTTACAGCTTTGTTTAGAGTGTGACAAATCTCTTTTTATCGTTACATATACCATTGTTTACCTATCTATGGAGGAGAAAGTCAAATTAATTGATGCTGCTGCTGTCCACTTTCATATTCTGTCTCGAACATGTCAGGTAGAATTTGAGGTTATTGTCATTGTCAAAAACGTAGCTTATTTGTCATTGTTTTTTGTTTATGCGTTGTCCTGGATTCCTGATCTGTCTTGTGTCAAAAAGTGTTCCCCCACTGAGATGTGTTGAGTGAACAGATTTCGACAACACTGGTAACAAGAGTTTTACACATTCACAAACTATCCTGTCGTTTTCAGGAGGAGGCTTTCAGGTTTTAGTATTCTGAAAGAATTACAGACTAAAGTTATGATCGGTGCAAAGCTATTCTAGAGGTACCCAAGACTAAACATTAAATGGCTGAAAATGAGCACACAGACCATCAGATGTCATGATAAGCATCACACATCTAGTACTGGCATTTCGGCAGCTATGTAAAGTGAACACAGGAGCAGTAGTTTGCCAGCATTTGTAAACTCTGTGTAAAATGGGCTTAAATCAAAAAAGCCACCTCAAAGAAGGGTCACTACACTGGCAGTTTTCTGAGATCTCTGTGTAAAAGGGACTCCAGCATGACTAAGGCCTACCTATTGTGTCAGCTTTACTGAAGCGTCTGGTGATCACGTTGTCCATGTTGCTGTCTTCACAGAGCTTCAGCTCCGTCAGGTACACCTCCACCTTGCAGTGCTTCACAAACATACCCTGTTCCACTACCTGGAAAAACCATGATGGCAGTATTAACTATTTACACCATTTAATGTTGAATCCAGGATTAATTAAATATAAATAGACTGCATATATGCAATCTAATATTGCATAGTCCACCACCTGAAACTTCAACATTATGTAACAAGAAGCAAGCCAAAAACTGCAGGACCTAGTGTTGTTAAAACTGAAGATAAATTTCTGCTGCCACCCTATATTATCTGTCAACATCCTTATAGCAGATGAAAAATAGCCTCTGGCTTGTCATGAAACAAAAATGGACTTTTCAGCTTTGACAGATTGCAACATAAGTCACCAAAAAGATAATCTGAACAGGGACTAGTATATTTTCAATTGTACTAGCTAGTCAGATGCAGCTCTTAAGATTATCTTATTCTAATTATCTAGTTACCGTTTTAAACGGGGAAATTTAACTGTAAAGTTGTGGTTTTACTAGCTACTACTTCTTGTGAATAACAAAGTAGAGTTTACTGCCCTGGCTGCCACTCATCTGATGTTCCAATAAGAGCAGCGTCAGAGTGAAGTGCCTAAATTAGCAGCACCTTGTGAAAACAGCTGAGGGGTCCAAGCCTATTTATTTCACCACCGAGCTGCCCCTCCAACACACACACTTGCATATATACACACAGTACAAATTTCACAAATGCCCCTGACAACTGTAATAGTCATGCACCGACATACCGCTCAGAACCTCTCTTCCAGCCCCATGCCTATCCAACCCCCGATCCTTCAGTGGGCCCATCCTAGCCCTCAGCACAATACTCATGTGTTTATAAGCTTGGAGCAAAAAGTCAAATTCATCTCCAAACTGACAAAATTTCTCAAAGTACAGCTGAGTCAAAACCAAATACCCCACCCACGACCCTCCTCCCATATTGGCTATGCTTCTCGCACTTCTGTCAGAAGCTTTCATGCGGCCCTCCTCCCATATTGGTTATGCTTCTCACACTCCTCTCAGAAGCCTTCATGCTGCTGCTTTCAGTGTGACCTCAGCCGGCATTTTGCTGCTTCAAAAAACAAGGACATGCAAGAACACTCTGCCGGTGTTGGCAGTGATACCAGATGAGGACAGCGGAAGGAAGCCTAGCGCCAAACCCGCGACTACTCCCAAATCCTTTTTAAATACTTGTGCTTCCGCTGCACCTCAGGATGACAAACCCACAAAAATAAACAAGGAGTTAAAAAAAAAAAAGGAAAACTAGTAATGAACCTCCTGCATGTTGTGTCTCGCAGATCGCTCCATGTAGCCTTTCAGTCATCAAGAACGTTGCCTGAAAATAGAAACCCTGTAGCTACCCGATACGTCCCTCAACATACATGGCAAAAGGGGAGGGTCAATAAAAGGGGGGGAGAAAAAAACAAGAGAGAGAAGGATAAGAGATGAAGGGGAAGAAGAATCTTTTCTAGCACCTATGATGCCATGACAAGCAGAATTTGAAGCAGGGATTTCATACTGTAGGTCCAGCTAAGCTGTAATCATAATCATTAAGTATTACACTGACTAATCAACTGTAACTATAGCTGTATGTGTAATGCGCAGAAAGGTATTCATTAACCCTAAAATAAATAATTGCAGTTCATGACAGAAATGAAAAGTGGCATCATTGTTGATTCATTTTCATGCAGTATCCAATATATCAGTAATATCTTTGTTTCCAGCTCTTCTGTACACTGCACAGTGAACCTTTGTACCTCTAATTGGCCAAGTTAACCAGTCAGCAGATGTAGTTTTTTTGTTTGTTTGTTTGTTTGTTTACACACAGGCCTCCATTCCAAAATAAAATGTCGGAGTTTTTGCTATTCTTGTTGTTAAAAATGTCTAATAAGCATCAGCAGAACCACATTGTCAGGAAGAACTACAGTTACACAACATCACAAGCCTCTATTACTATTCAATGTTGAACAACAATGATCCAGAACTAAAGTTTCTATTTACAGTTGTGTTGTACTATGATGCCTTAATCACAAATGCCCTTATTAGCACACGTTTGTCCCTTTCAAGCCAACACAAGCTACAATACACAAATAACTACTAACCACAAACATTACAACACATCAGGGAAAACATACATAGATACATATCCCTTTTGGTTCTGTTATCGATGCAGAGAGCCCATCAAATCCATTTACAGTCTTATGTGAATGGCTGAACTTTACCTTGCGTGCAATTGGCTCCTGACCATCTGTCAGTCCATACCAGCTGACAAGCTTATTCCAGCCTTCTGTGGGGACCAGAATGTAGTCCAGCTCATCGATGAGGTGCTCCTTAATGGCCAACACATCCCCATCTAGAGGGAGGGAAGCAGACAGAGTGAGAGAAAGCATATTTAATTGGATGACAGTAATTACTCACCTGCACCACTGACACAACACAAAACATACAAAGAACAAGGTATGCTTGAAAGCTTTCTATGAACCCCTAAGAGTTTATTCTACAGAGTTAATTTACACTGTTTGATTTGCTCCTTTTTTCCCTCTGAACTCTTTGATGCTACTTCCAGAATTATTAAGATGTACTGATCACTGGTGTGATGTAAAGGTTAAGAGTGTTTACAATATATTCCTGTTGGTGATTTAGGGTTTTTGTCATACCTTTAAGAAGACCAGAGTTATCAACTGGTCCTGGGTAGACATTCTGGTCACCCATCTGGTATTTGTCCCAGCTGTCAAATCCCACATACTTCTTCCACTGTTTAAACCAGTGACTGTCCACCAGGTACCTGTAGAGAAGGCATGCAGTAGTATGTCAGCTCTAATAAAGCAAGGGGGCACTGCTAATCAGTCAGATGAGTCAAGGGTCATAGAAAAGGGTTTAATGCGCATTTCTTTTTACACATTAAATGGTAGTAATAGCAAAACGTCGGCAGCCGAAGGCTACCTTGCCATCAGTAGCCTAAATAAATCTGGTGTTGGGGCACAAGAATAATAAAAATTGACAGTTGCAAGAGCCACTCTGATGATGCCGAGTTGAGTTCAGGTTGCTGCATGCCAGGCCAGCTGGCTCTGTGATTTTGACAGGTGCTTTTTCTGACTCCGCCCTGCCGAAGTCAAGGGATAAACCCACTGACTGCTCAACCACTTGGAGCTTCGACAGTCTAGCCAACTAGCTATTAGTATGCCAACTAGATAAATGAAAGAGATGTAGTAGGGTATCACTGAGATAATGTCATCAGATAACAACCGAAATTTGTATCTGGGAGTGCTGACTATAACTACCAGAAATAAACATTTCGATGATATGTATGGTCTCTCGCTTTTCATTGACAGTCTAATGGCTAGCGTTAGCTCAAGCTCCGCTAGCACACATGAAGCTGACAGGCTCCCATTAGCTAGCTCGGAACAAACTGTCAACACGGCCCGCCACCTCGCCTTTTTTATCCTTCATGACGTTGACAGTATCGCCAGAACCAACCGACGGCCATGCAGCATCTTTTAAAAGGTTTCAGTCAAGTCTTACCAAGTGTCTCCCTTTCTTAACTGTGTTTTCAACAGTGCCGCGACCTCTCCTCTCTGGGTATCCAGATCAGCCGCTCCTCCTTCCGCCATCTTTGCTCAGGCATCACCCGCTGCATGTTGGGAATGTGGGGGACGTCACCAAGACACGTTGGGACCGACGTCGCTGTTTCAGCTTATCACCAACTCACTGACGATAAAGGAGGAGCGTGTCATCCAGTGGTAAAATGATTCTAGAATTTATGCCCTAGAAGTGCTCCATCATTGTTGCTGCGCTGTCTCTTTGACTGCAAAGAATTTAAGAATTCCTTCTTTTTTCTGCCCTTGTTTTTTTGATCAAAAATAACACATTCTTTCCTGCTGTGTAACATAAAATACATGCTTTGCATTTTATTATTTATTAGGGTGCCAAATCCCTAGTATAGGAAGCTCATCATTGATGGTATTTAGGCACGTTATGCAAATTACAAAGTCAACACCTACTATGTTCTGGCACAATCCATTTTGAATAAATAATGTTGCAATCAGTAAATTAAAGGGATACTCCAGAAATGTTGTTTTTGTTCTAAAATTGGGGGAATTGTGAGAGACTAACCTTAAAAGACTGGTCAATAACTAAACCAGCAGAGGCAGTGATAGCCAGACTTTTATTTATAGTTTTGCCCCACATATCCTATAATCAAACTCAGTCTCCCTGGCTGATACATTCCTAGGTATTTCAAACTCCATGCTTACAGTTTGTAATGAAGGATTCCCTTTACAAATTTGATCATAGCACCCTATTAACTTCATAAGATGACCCACAGAGAGAATAAATGATACAGAGTGGTATTTATTTAAAAATACTTAACCTTTATTTAAGATGGATGGAGCAGCACTCTGTGTCTTACCTCTTGTCAGTACGTTCTGTATTGCTTCGCTATGGAGCCATCAATGAACTGATCACAAGTGTGGGAACATTATCTCAAAAAGGAGAAATCGACAAAAACCATCTACGGTGGAGAACCTATTATTTTTGAATAAAAATGTCTAAGTCACACAAGCACACCCAGTGTACACCAAGCACAACCACAAAACATATACTGTATTATACCACAGGGACTGTGGCAGGCAAGGGTGCAAGCCTGAGCAGGACGACCGTGCTCTCTGATCCCCTTAGACAGTCAGCATTGCATCAAGAATCATCACTCTTCTATAAGCTATATAACCTCCTTGGCTCAGGATTACTCTGGCACACCTGTGTCAAGCACTATAATATGTAGTTACATCCTTAAATGCCGCTTAAAACTGGACTGTGCCAAAAGGACGCCTTATATCGACAGTGTCCAGAAGCACAGTCAACTACTCTGGCTTCGGAGGCATCTGGGATAAACCATCGCACAGTGGAAATGTGTAGGGGAGACCAGGGATGATTGTAACACCTTTTGTTTGAGCATCAGTAACTCAGTGGCTGTTTGTGCTAGATCTCCCAAACTGTGATACATGTTACCCATATTTGTCTACTACAAATAAAACTCACTTGAACGACAACTACACAATCACAGATTATTGTCATGATTCTGTCCCATCAGCTTCTGTTTTGATGCTTTTATTTTGACATTACTTTCTGTTTCACCTTATTTTTGGACTTTTTACTTTAATCAGCACTCATTGGTTTCACCGGTTTTCACCCCTTTATAAGCAGCTTTCCCCCATCGGAAAGCTGCCAGATTGTTCTTGACTCCCGTGCAGGCTTTCCAGCATTCTTGTGTGTGTGTGTGTGTGTGTGTGTGTGTGTGTGTGTGTGTGTGTGTGTGTGTGTGTGTGTGTGTGTGTGTGGGTGTGTGTGCGTGAGTGAGTGAGAGAGCGATTCCTGTTGTGACCTTTGGATTCTGCCTTGCCCTCTTGATTCGGACTGTTTTTTTTATTTGATTTGATTTGATTTATTCCTAGGTAGGTTTTCTGTGTATGGATTATCTGACTTTCCTCTCTGACATCTCGTTGTGAATTCCTCGGCTGTGTAAGTTTGCTGGCTCTGACCCTGGACTGTATTTTTTACCTGAGTGTGTGTTTCGCGTCCACGTAGTTTTCTGTATCGTTTTGTTGTCCGTGCTCTTATTAAGGAGACAGTCTTATTTTTACTTATCCTCGTCTGGCTATATAATTGAGTTCACCCCTCGATATTATTGGCAGCTTCACGTGTCGATTCTTAACAGATTATGTGAGTTAAAATCAAATGCAGAGCTCTGTTGTTACAGCCTACCCCACGACTGTGGTGAGTTTTGTGGTAGTTTGGACCTGATGTAAACTAAATTAATTCAGGCAAGGGTGTAATTCTGAGCAGGGTAGTAATTAGATAGGTAATCTGATAGTTAGGGAACAGAGAACAGAATCACTCCTCCTGCAGTGCAATACATGAAGTATTAAATAAGAAGATTGTCACAGAGTTGGTCAGTCACTGTTGGTCACAAGGTACAGTCAGAAGCCAGAGTCCCCCCGGCCGGGTCCGAATGCACACTCACGACTGCAGCACCATCTCTCCAATTACACACTATTCTATTGCATATTACCTCTGGACTGGTACCTTGTTTGTTTTTAACCACTACAGTTGTAAGAATTTTACTGAATAATAAAGAATGATTTGTTTTGAATAAACATCAAAAACACTCTAGGTTAAGTTTAGGCACCTCGTAGTTGGGTTGAGGATTAGGGTGAGTCTCTAAGAACTTCATCTAAGTCAGTGTAAAGACATGCAAAGTGATAAATACAAGGATGTGTGTGGGTGTCTGTCTTTCAAAATGTATACAGTGCCTTGCGAAAGTATTCGGCCCCCTTGAACTTTGCGACCTTTTGCCACATTTCAGGCTTCAAACATAAAGATATAAAACTGTAATTTTTTGTGAAGAATCAACAACAAGTGGGACACAATCATGAAGTGGAACGAAATTTATTGGATATTTCAAACGTTTTTAACAAATAAAAAACTGAAAAATTGGGCGTGCAAAATTATTCAACCCCCTTAAGTTAATACGTTGTAGCGCCACCTTTTGCTGCGATTACAGCTGTAAATCGCTTGGGGTATGTCTCTATCAGTTTTGCACATCGAGAGACTGAAATTTTTGCCCATGCCTCCTTGCAAAACAGCTCGAGCTCAGTGAGGTTGGATGGAGAGCATTTGTGAACAGCAGTTTTCAGTTCTTTCCACAGATTCTCGATTGG